GATGTTACACGTGGGAATGCTCTGGCAGACTCCGCTGCCAAAGCTGCAGCTTTGGCAAAGCTGCAGCCTGAGTACTCCTCAGGCTACACCTGTGTTTTTGTCTATCTCGACTAATCAGTCTCCACTGGCAAGTCTTCACGACGTTGCCGTCCTCCAAGATCAGGCTCCAAAACCAGAAAAATATACGTGAAGACTGGTTGGGTGTTTCTTACACCCTGACCACTTGTGGCGCTCCCCAGACGGCCACCTGGTTGCCCCAATGGTCCTTCTTCCCTATCTTGCTCGCATACAACACGGCATAGCACACGTGAACAAAGGGGGGATGATAGAAGCTGTTAAGCTTGATTGGTTTGCTCCAACTTTTTTATCTGTGGCTCAACAATACTGTTATACCTGCCCTATTTGTCAAGCCCATAATGTGGGAAAGCCTGTAAAAACAAAAAAAAGCAGCACATCCCCCCCAACCTTGGGGGTCCTTTGTAAATTTACAAATAGATTTTATTCAAATGCAGAAATGTTGTTCTTATGAATATGTTCTTGTTATTGTATGTATGTTCTCTGGATGGGTAGAAGCCTACCCATGTGCAAAAGCTGATACCATCACTGTGAGCAAAAAGTTGCTCAGAAACTTTATTCCAAGGTTTGGTATTACTTTATCCATAAACTCCGATAGAGGAACTCATTTTACTGGGTAGATAATGAAAGAAGTCTGCAAAGTCCTGCAAATCCAGCAGAACTTTCATTGCCCATACCATCCACAGGCCTCGGGCCAAGTGGAACGCCAAAATGGCATTTTTTAAAATAAACAGGCCAAAATTTGTGTTGAAACTCACTTGAAATGGCCAGATGCACTTCCCATAGCCCTTATGAGTATGAGATCTACTGTCAATCAAAAGACTGAACTTAGCCCACACGAAATCCTAAGGAGAAGACCCATGAGGCTCCCTGCCTCACCACCTGTTGCCTCCCATGTTTGCGATATACATTTACTTGATGATACTATTTTAGACTACTGTACGGCACTAATGAAGTATGTTAAGACTTTTCATTCACAGGTACAAGCAGCTCTCCCCAAGGAACCAGATGAGCCATGCCATTTCATCCTGCCTGGTGACTGGGTTCTTGTAAAAGTCCATCAACAGAAGTCATCGCTGGAACCCCGCTGGAAAGGCCCATTCCAGGTACTCCTGACAACCAGCACTGCAATAAAGTGTCAAGGACTTCAAACGTGGATCCACGCTTCACACCCTAAGAAACATCAGCCCTGTTAGACCTAGAGTCTCCTCCATATCAACCTTGTAATCTAATCAGCCTCCACGGACTGGTAGTGAGCCTAACGCCTGCCAACAAAAGAGCTCAAGACCAGTAGTGAGCCAAGCGCCTACTGGCAAAGAGGATTTGCCACTACAGAACGAAGAAAATGTACCCCAGTGACACCACTATGCCCCTCGGGAAAGGAAAAAGGCCTCTACCTAGTTCCTGGTTCCTGAGGTGGGGTTAGTTAGTCGTGACTTGGGTACTTCTCAGTCTTTCCTTTTAGATCATCTTATATGAACTTAAAGACTCAACAGCTAAAAGAAACTTTGTAAATCAGACTAGACTTCAAAACAAGCCAAAAAAAAAATCACTCCCACACTGGCATGCTCACCAAAACGCTTTTCTTCAACTGTCTTATCAATATGCAAAAGATTTAAATGGTTCTAAATGTTGGGTATGTCCCCATTTGCCTTCTAGTAAATAACAAGAGTGCCCATAATTGCTTTATCCCTTAATTAGACCGATTTTTGCGATATGCATGTTAAAATAGCGAAAAGGTAAAGAGAAAGAAAAATTAAAAGTTAAAAGGCTCATGGCTATAAATATCTAATATGTTGGGCCAAAAAAGGCCCAAAAGGGGGGAATGTGGAAATAAGTTTAACCAGGCCTCTTACTTGACTGAGAAGAGAGTGAAAGAGAAGAGAAAAAGATGCTAATGCTGATGCTATGTGTTTTAAAATGTTCTAAGATAAGAAAAAACCTTCATGCCTTCTTTTGTCTTGATATATTAAGCTCTGTGTGCAGATGTTAACCTCCTCCTTTCCCCCGAACCAGAAGCTGATAACTGTTCCCAAAACACAGTGGGGTTTTTTTTCTGAAAAAGTAAAATGCTTATGTGAGACAAATGAATGATCAACTTCTTCCTGTTTCTTTCAAGGTTGCTTTGTCTGAACCCTGCATCTTTTCTCGCTGTCTAAAGTATAGATACGCTTGTAAACTTGTAGAGGTCAGAGTTCCTTTGAGAACCCTCCTTTTGATCACTTGTATAGCTTTAAATAAACCAAGATGGCTCTGCCAATTCTGATACAACCACAACGCGAAGTTTGATTTCTTCCACAACAGAAAGGAGTTGGGTTGGGTTTGGGAGCTAGCCATGGATACCACTGGTACAAGACCAGCCTCTGCCATACCCTTTTTACTTGTGTTCTTGTCTGGGACCTTATCCAACTTTCTGGATATCCAGCCAAACCTTACAGTGGGGAGGGGCTTGGTAAGGCTCGGCTCTCCATTAACCTACTGGTGCCCTGCAGAAATGAGTAGTGAGATGGAGCTTAAGACTACATGCTTGTCAACTGCAGGGGAACTCAAGCCACTATACAATGGGCATCCGATCTCCATGAAGGACACAATTTGTTCACACAATGGATTGACTTAATTGCCTTTTTCATCTTCACTACTCCTCCCCACCAGCATCAAAAACTGGCTATCAGGGGAAGGGAAATTGATGCAGACACCCAGGTTAGCTACAATCAGGGACACTTTGGGGAACCATGAGGTTCAGTGGTAGTAGTATCCCATACACAAACTGTGACAGCAGTCAACGGGCCCTCGACCCCAAATCAGCTAGGTACTATTGCATCATGATACTATCATGAGCCAAAGGACATGGCGGGGTGAAGAAGCAAGACCTTGATGCCACAGCCTAGCACAATGTCAAGAGCACAGATTCCTGAGATGCTGATCGCATCATTCTTTGCCCACAGGGGAGGAAAGTAAGGCTGAATTTCCTCACTGGCAAAGAAAAGCAGGGAGCTCTTGTATCTGCTCTGGGATCACTGTCAGATCAGGCTGATGGGGGGGGCTTCCTTCCTGGGAGGTATCGGAGTCCTCAGTGGCTTGCACCTGTCTAGTGGTCCAATGTTCAGTTGATCATGAAACAGGGCTATATAAAGTCATCTCCCATGATGATCTGTGATAGCTTTTCATACTACCCAGTCATCACCCTGGAGGTGTCAGAGATGTAACTAAAATCTCAGGGTCTCTTGTAACACAACTTCAGGATCTTGTTTTATGCACAGAACTCATTGAAGTCCCAGTTGTGCCCCAAGCTGTCATTTCAGCAGTTCTGTGCTCAAAAGACACCGTAGTTGTGGTGGCTTGTCCTGAATTCTGGCTGAGTTTCCTCATCACTCCAAATGGAGAGTATACTCAGTGCCTCTTCCAAACTCTAATTTGTGGCACATCATGAGGATGCATTGAAAAAGGATGGTGAGGACATTATGGCTGCTGGCTTTATATAGTAGGCATAATCCAAATGGGTCCTTAAACCTGTGTCAGTGCAGGCCTCAACTCTGTCATTAGGAAGTGTGGCACAGAATGGCTGGTGTGCCTTTGGACAGAGAAGTGAGTAGGTAGGTGAGGCTACACGTGACCCCTGTAACTCCAGGGGGTGGGAACCAGGGGTGGGGGGTAGATCCTGGGGTGCCCTTTACTTACAAAAAGTGATCTTCACAATAAAAAAGTTGGAGAACACTGCACTAGATTCTACCCCTGTAGTAGTATCCCTGCCCTACAGGGTATGTTGCCCCTTAAAGACATCTCCAGTTGTGCCTTAGGAGCAATAATTGTGATCTCTAGCTGCCCCCATAGTCATGCCCATGCCTTGCAGATGTCAGTCAGCATGGGGGGGCGGGCCTTTGGCCCCAACTCCACATTTGGCCCCTCAAGCCTTGAACCACATTCAACATGATGTACAGCAAAAGCTTTGTTATCCGGCACCCATGGGAAATGGGGGGTGCCGGATAACCAAATATGCCAGTTACCTGAGCGACCCAAACAGGCGTCTTTGCCTGCTCAGGCCATCGCCCCTCCTGCCACGTCTGGTGTGCCACCGCCCCTCCCGCCACGTTAGTGTGCCGGGGAACAGGGAGGGGGGGCCCCACACAGACTGCTATGGCCCAGGCCGGGGGCAGGGCTCTGGCGAAACCAGAAGTGCTACAGTGTGGCACTTCCAGTTTTGCTTTTGCTTCGCTGACTGGCATCCCGGTTAATAAAGCATGCCAGTTTGTAAGGTGCCAGATAACGCAGCTTTTGCTGTACATGCACAAAATTCTTTGATCTTGCAAATTAGTCTTCTGAGAAAGACCATTATACAATGTTAACTGATTTCAAATCACATTGAAAAATAAAGTAAGTACTAGTAATTTCATTTTAATTATCTGGTGTTCATCTAAAGGGCATTGTATTTCCCTTGAACAAGAATATAGAGACAAGGTTCTTAGCAAATAATAGCAGATAAGGGAATGACTGTGATACTTTAAGACAATACAGAAGCTAAATTACAGTCCACTTTTAAAGATCAATATTAGATCGTTTTCTGTATTATAAATGGTGTTGGTGATTCTACAACTTACCGGTTTCTCTGCTGAAGGAATATTAAATATTCATCATGCTTCTCAGCAAAATCAGTTATCATGTCCTTAGTAGAAGCCTGAAACAAGAAAATACAATTTTAAAAGTGGGGTAATGAAATGATTCACAACAGAAACTTGAGGCCCTTAAAACAAGGAATAAAGAACTTTATACAGGCAACCCCTGCTTAATGATGTTTCACTTAGTGCTATTTCACTATAGTGCTCATTTCACTTTGACGCCCGGTTTCACTTAGCGCTCACGGGTTTCGTTATAACGCTCACAGGTATTGGGCAGGCAGCATCAGCGGCACGCAGCCTTGTCGCCATCTTGCCTCGTCAAAAAGTTTAGTGCACTGTGACCACTCGCATTCTGCGCTCTTTCGTGCTTGTGCCCCTGTCTTGCTTCATTTTTTGAGTTGCACCATGAGTCAGAACCATTCAACTGACTCTGAGAGTGCAAGTGCTGAGAAAAAACAGTGAAAAAGCGTAACGCTGGAGCTTAAATTAGATGGCCTGAAGTGAACTGAAGCAGGGGAACACCAGAATGCGGTCTGTAGAGTATTGAATTTGGCTGGGTCAACTGCTAGGACTATATTGAAGAATAAAGACAAAATAAAAGAACGTGGTAGAATTGTAACTCCTTTAAATGCTTTGAAACTCAGTAGGAGTAGGGCTCCAATTATGTTAGAAATGGAGAGGCTGTTAAGTGTGTGGATTTAGGATACAACTCAATGCAGTATGCCCTTGAGCATATTCAGAAGAAGGCTAAGAGCCTGTACGATGATTTACAGAAAAATTTGCCGGAGAGATCTGCTTCTGAGCCTTTTTTATGCAAATAATGGGTGGTTCAAAAGATTTAAGGAGGCACAGCAACTTGCATAATGTTTCTATTCAGGGGGAGGCTGCTAGTGCTGACACCCAAGCAGCTTTCAGCTGTAAAAATAAGCTTGTAGAAATTATTGAGGAGGGAGGCCATAACACCTCAACAAGTACTCAATGCTGATGAGACAGGCCTCTTCTGGAAGAGGATGCCTTCTAGGACCTACATTTCCAGGGAGGAGAAGTCGATGCCAGGTTTCAAGGTGTCCAAGGATTGACTTACTTTATTGCTTGGTGGTAATGCTGCAGGGGATTTTAAATTGAAACCAATGCCTATATACCACTCAGAAACCTCAGGGCTCTCAAGGGGTATCTTAAAAGCAGTCTGCCAGTCTAACAAGAAGGCCTGGGTGACAATGTCAATCTTTCAGAGTTGGTTCAGGGATTATTTTTGTCCTGCAGTTCAGAAATACTGTGCTTAGAACAATCTGTCCCACAAAACCAGCAGATAAAGGAGGAGCCATAGTCATCCTAAACCATGAGGATTACATAAAGGAAGCCAACAGACAGCTCTCTGACACCACCTACTACAAAGAACTACAAGAAGATCCTACTCCACTTTTCACCAAAAAACTCAACAATACCACCAAATCATTTCCATCAAGACTACAAGAAAAACTACAGACCTTGATCCCCCTGCTACCTAACCCGGGGACTTTTT